ATTTGAGAGAGCGGATACGAGCGCCCCAACACCGCGCCGCGCGCCCCCTGAAAAGGAAGAGTTGAGATTGCTTCCTCATTAGCCCTACCGACGCGCGCTAGCGCCGCACGCCCTCGCCGACGCGTTCTAGCGCCGCGCGCCCTCGCCGAGCGCCTTCGCCGACGTGCGCTAGCGCCGCGCGCCTATCCCTCGCGCATCATCGCCTTGTGCTCCCACACCATGCGTACCATCCCCGCATCACGTAACTCCTCCTGAGCTGGGGGGCTAACACACCCCAAGGGTTGGACATCCCATCCCAAAGGCTGGGTATCCCCTCACCTCTCTACATCAATTTCAGCGTATAATCGCGGAAGTTTCAACTTGTGCTACCACTGAAGCAGTGGCACCATACATCGTCATAGCAGGAGCCAACGCTCCTCCTCGTGAGGCCCCACTGGGTCCTCAACATGATCAATTTCTACTTACTTCTCGAACGGTTCAGATAACCGAAGAGGACCTTCAACGTATGATCACGGAAGATTCAACTCGTGCTGCCACTGAATCGGTGGCACCATATATCGCCAAGGTTGGGCATCTCACCCCAGTGGTTCGTGATCCCTTCATCCTAAATGGGGGGCTATCCCATCCTAAAGTTGGGTATCTCATCTCAAGGGTGGTACATCCACTTACCTTTCAACCCCAAGGGGTTTCACATCCCATCAAGTGTTTCACGTCCCTACTTCAAAAAACAGAAAAAATGGTCTGACGCGCACGCGCGAACCAATGGCACAACCGTGCACATCCACCTCAGACCATAGGTCTCGAGCGACTCATCCTACAGTGGGCAGTTATCCCCATCCTAAGGTTGGGCATCACCCTTACCTTTCAACCCCAAGTGGGTTCACATCACATCGCAAGAGACGAGGATAATCTTCCTACTCAAAAAATAGAACATCCCCAAGGGGGTGAATATCAACCACCAAAAAATAGAAGAAAAAAGAAGAAGAAGAGAAAGGAGAGGCGCGCGTGGCAAACACGCGCCAGACGCACGCGCGTGCACTGCACGCGCGCCAGAAAACAAAAAAAAAAAAAAAAAAAAAAAAAAACTCACACGCGCGCGCGCCTTCCCATACACGCGCGCGCGCCTCCCAAGGCCACCTTGGAGCGCGCGCTCCCACCTAATTGGGCACAACTTTTGCTACTCTCCACCAAATTGCGCGTAGATTTCACCTCGCTTCACCAAATCGCGCGAGAATTTCAACGCGCCTACCAAATCGTGCTCGCTATCAAACGGATAAATAAAAAATATTATTTCTCCACGCCACGCCAGCGATTAAAGAAAACACTACAACACCGATCTACTCTCAACACGATCCGGTACCCTTTTCGACGTGGCTCCCACATCGTCTCGAGAGTGGGGGGCTTGCGAGACAACTCCCACGAGGAGCCAACTCGCTCAGTACTACCACCCGCAGCGAGACAACTACCACGAGGAGCCAACTACCTCGGAACTACTACCCACAGCGAGATAACTCCCACGCGGAGAAAACTCGCTCCGTCCTACAACTCCCTTGCGAGACAACTCCCACGAGGAGCCAACTGGCGCAGTAATACAACCCGCAGCGAGACAACTCCCACGAGGAGCAAACTCGCTCGGACCAACAACCCCTTGCGAGGAAAATCCCACGAGGAGCCAACTCGCTCGGTACTACGAACCTGCAGCGAGACAACTCCCACGAGGAGCCAACTCGCTCGGTACTACGAACCTTCAGCGAGATAACTCCCACGAGGAGCCAACTCCCACGAGGAGCCAACTCGCTCGACACTACAAATCCGTTGCAAGGCAACCCCCACGTACAACCACCTCGCTCGATAATAAGACTCGCTGCGAAACAACTCCCACGAGGTGACAACTCGCTCAGAGCAACCTCAATCCGCACGCTCCTCAATCGCGCATCATCCAATGCTCCTACAACTTCGGTGCAAGACAACTCTCTTGAAGAGACAACTCGCTCGCAATGCACTACATAATCGCAAGCTCAAGTTAGCACGATTACAACCCTAGAAACACTTAGAGATATTATGAGAATCTATATAGCCTGGCCAGCTTGATTACTCAAAATTTATCTACTTGTTTTCGATGGGTCCTTTATTAAAACGTGGCCACGGTCCAAACATACTTACGACCCACGAGGTCTAACAAGGGGCACGATCCCCATAAAAAAACTCTTGAGAGCCTGATCCCCTCCTCAAGTACATCACGCACAAGGCTATATGTAAACACATACAAGCAACACGTCAAAACATTGACAATGTCGATAAATAACAACTCCCACGAGGAGAATACTAGCTCCGTGCTACTACATTTTCACGAGACAACTCCCACGAGGAGATAACTCGATCAACTCTATTACCCCATGACGAGACAACTCCCACGAGGAGATTACTTGATCCGTGCTACCACATTACCGCGAAACAACTCCCACGAGGAGATAACTCGATCAACTATATTACCCCGCGACGAGACAACTCCCACGAGGAGACAATTCGCTACTACATCGTCGCGGGACAACACCGACGACTCAAATAACTTACATAGCGACAACTTGGTCGCGCTACGCGCCAACGCGCATTCACGCCCCTCCGACACACGCTCCAATGCATTTTCGCACACCATCAGGCCATATGCCAAAGAACGAACACTACAATTTTCACTCTCGACACGATTGAGAACCCATTTCGACATGGCCCCCACATCGACTCGAGAGTGGGGGGGCTTAATGATATGCCTAATTGGGCCAACCCAATGGGCCTACAATTTATTTACCTACTGGGCCACGAGCCCAATATCGAAGATCATTATCACCAAGGCCCAATCACCTTCAAGTAAGGTTCGGGCCCGACAATCTCAACTAAGATATAAATAAAGGTTTGAACTCATTCCTCAAGGTACGTCCTATTAACTGAGCAATACGACAACTGTATTCTCTGGACTATTTCTATGATCAGCACGTCTGACTTGAGCGTCGGAGGGGTTTCCGCCGGATCAACCCCCGGCTTAGTTCATGTGTTCTATGATCGCAGGTACCTCAGGATCATCAAGTTGTCAAGCTACTGATCTGCTTTGCTCTCCTAGCTCATTTTCTACACCACCCTAGGTGAGCTACATTTTAGCATCATCAATATATATATATATATATATATATATATATATATATATATATATATATATATATATATTCCCATAATCAAGAAACCTGTCGTAATTCATTTCCACGTTCGTCATTACCAGACCAGCATCATGCCCTCATGGGCTCTATTAATTACTACCCAATAATCTTGATTAGGAATTTTTTCTAACTTTTTTTTTTTCATTTTTTTCATTTTAACAGAAAATTAATGAAAGTTTTTTTTTTAAATAAATTTATTCTATATATTTTTTTTCTTATACAAACAATCAAATAATTTGCTTATTATAATCATTTTATGTTTGGAAAGGTATATCTATTTTTATATACAAAATAATAATATTATATAAAATATAAAATTTATCAAAAAAAATGTCAATTTATAAGAACCCCAACAAATATAATTTAATAATAAATATAAATTTAATAAATGAGATGTTTTTGGATTCTTTGAATTAAATTTCCCAATGTGGTTGTAGTTGGAAGTTCGTAGTCATAAAGAGAAGAGAATAGAATATTGACAAACTTAAAATATCCTAAAATTGAATTGTTTATATATACGTACTTGTATTTGTTTTCTTGCATGGCCTCTTTGGATCTTAATCGCATAAGAGATATCATTTTTTTTTTCAATTTTTTTATATAGCAAGTAAAATAAATAAATCATATGAGGTAAATGAAATGAAAGAGGGATTTATACGATAAAAAGAACACGTCGGTGCAGGTTTTTCTGGAGGTAGGGGAGTTTATTTTCTTTACCAAGTTCATCTATGAGTAATATATACTCTCCTACATATCTCGATTAAGGTTCGTTCGAATTCAAATTAATTTACAACAAATAAACTTATAAAACACAATTTCAGAAGGTTGATAAAAAGATTGAAATAAGATTGTAGAACAATCTGCTAGGCTTGACTTAGTTCTTGATTATTGAGATACTACATCGGGTCATATACATTGGATGATAATTAAATAGCCATTCACTGAGCAAAACCACCTGCTAAATAATTCCTAAATATATTTCAACGAGTGTAGCACCAAATAAACATTCCATTATTTTAGGCAAACAAAAATTAAATCTAACAATGTAGGAGTACCCATCGTCTATCTATCTGTCAAGCCCGGTTGTTGGGTGAGAAATGAAAATAATTGAACTTGGATGGTCACCAAACTAAAATAAATTGTATTATCTAATTATTATTCTTTAATCATATCAATATCCTCATTAAAATTCAAATCCCCACTTTTTAATAACGATTTATTGAGGGACCCCAAATCTTACCCAAAAAAATATAATCTTGTCCAAATTATGTGAATTCATTCAATAATCAATAGGGATTAGCAGGTAGAGGTCTAAAATAGACGAAATTCCGATTTTAGTCAATTTCGATAACAAATAACAAAACAATTTTGGAACAACATTATTAATTTCAAATTTAAAAAATTACGATTTCTGAATTTTTCTGGCTCGGAATTGAAATAATATATTGTACTTTGAATTAAGATTTTTGATTAATTCCATGGAATTTCCAGATTTCGCCAATTCCTCAACTGGCTTTTTTTTTCAACTTCGTTAATTTCAATTGTCAATTTTTCGATTACTTTTGACCAGTGTTCTAAATATCGGTTGTGGCGGCCGATATATCGGTCGCCATATCGGTGGCGGGCATAAACCTTTACGATATTTGTGTGGCGGTTTTGAAAATCGGTTTTTTGACGGTGAGGCGGTCCGAGGCGGTCTGGGGCTGGTCAAACCGATATATTGGGTCAAACTTCGAGCGATATATCGAAAAAATATTTTTTTTCTAACTTTTATTTATTTATTTTCTATTACAAGGAAAATATGGTGTTTATTATTTTTTTTTTCAATTCCAACTCATTATCTCTTTCAATCAAACTCAAACTCTGCGACCCCATAAGAAAAATCTAGCCTAAAAAAACAAAAATACAAAACAATCCAGACACCGCGGCGGCATTCTCTATCTCAATATTAATGTTAAACTTTTGTTATGTGATTAGAATATATAAACGACGAGGAGAGAATCAAGTTCAATTTTATTTTATACGTTTTAAGTATTTATAAAAAAATATTTAGAAATATATTACACTAAATCAAAAAACCGATTTATTTCCGATATATCTCCTATTAATCATCGCCGCACCGATTTATCGTGTGGCGGTCCCGAACCGCCTCGGACCCGATAACCGATATTTAGAACCTTGCTTTTGACACGCATATAAATTTAGTTTTTCACTTCAATTAATTTTATTTTAAAGTGCATAATTCCGATCGAATCCATTTGATTTCTCCCCGAAAATAAGCAATTAGTAAGACACAAGCTTCTAACTTTTTCTTTCACCCAAATTTAAATTTCGTCCTATCCCTACTTTTGTATTGTCTAATTCTCATAATTTAATGCTCGAAAAATGCTTTGTCTGGTTAAAACCTTAACCCACCCCCCACCCACCCTCCACCCACCCCACCCCCCAATCATCATCTTCACACCTTTCTTGTTTCTAGTTTCTTTAGTATTATTACTAAAATGCCATTATCTCACTAATCTCTTTTACGCCATTAAAATTCATATATACATACATACACATGTATTTTGTATTCTCCCAAAACTATATATCTTCTCTCTCACTCTTAAAAGAGTATATTCTTAATTCTCTCTCTCAAGCAACAATAACAGCTTCTCTCTCTTCCACCATTTTCTTTATAAATTATTTCTTCCTTTTTTTTTTTTGGGTTCATCATTCAGAAAAAAAAAATGGGGTTTTCAAGAAACAGTCGTTGCACCGCCGCCATTGATGCCGATCACGAGCTCTGCGACGACAACTCTGATTTCGACGATCACGAGGCAATAAAGTTCAAGTCTTTGCTCCACAAAATGATCTGGGATTTCGGTCTGGGCTGCGTCATTCCACCACCGCGGCGGCGGCTGCGGAGCTCCGCCGCCGCCGACGAGAATGGGGAGGAGGAGAAAGACGTCGGCGGCGGAAACAAGGCTTGGCTGCTGGCGGAGTCCGGCGGCTGCGGGGCGGAGGAGCCGCACTCGGTCCACTCCTCGTTCAGGTTCAGCTTCTGCTCTCAGGTGGAGGTTGAATCCATGGCGGTGAACAACAGCTGCTCCGCCACCGTGTTGATGGTGAATTTGGACAACGGCTTCTTAACAGATTTCAAGTCTAGAGAATTGAAATGGAGAAGAATTGAATCTTTGGAGAGGAGTATTTCTCCATTGGCACACTCTTTAATTCGCTTCTCTTACTCTGAAATTCTCTCCGCCACTAGAAATTTCTCCAAAGGTAATATTTTTTTTTTCTTTAATTTTTTTTTTTTTTTTGAATTTTCTTTAACTTTTTAAAAAATGGGAAATGATTTTCTTGAATTTGGAGTGTAGGTAGAGTATTGGGGAGAGGGGCGTTGAGCTGTGTGTTTAGAGGAAGAGTCGGGTTTCTGAGGACGAGCGTCGCGATTAAGCGTCTCGAAAAGGAGGACAAAGAATCGTCGAAGGCATTTTGCCGAGAATTGATGATCGCGACTTCTCTGCGTAATCCCCACATAGTTCCGTTGGTCGGGTTTTGTATCGATGCCGAGGGGGGTTTGTTTTTGGTCTACAAATACGTCTCCGGTGGTAGCTTAGAGCGATTCTTGCACGGTATTATATTATTATTATTTTTCTTGTCGTCGCCCTTTTCAGAGCTAAGTGTTTACAAGTTTGTTTGGTTATAACTTTTGAGATTCGTTACGTGCAGAAAAGAAGAGAAGAGGAGGTAAAGGGAGTCCTCCGCTTTCATGGTCCGTTCGGTATAAAGTTGCAATGGGAATCGCTGAAGCAATCGAGTATTTACATAACGGAACGGAAAGATGTGTTGTTCATAGAGATATAAAGCCCTCAAATATCCTTCTTTCGTCGAAGAAGACACCCAAGGTAAAGGTCATAAAAAAAAATAGCTTCGTTTTTCGTGTCTAGCAATCGATAATATTGAGTAGTACTTACACTAAACTAAATTCTTGATTAATTTTATTTGGACAGTTGTGCGACTTTGGATTGGCGACGTGGACCCCTTCTCCCTCGGTGCCGTTCCTTTGCAAAACCGTTAAAGGCACATTTGGGTAATCATCTTTAATTATTATTATTATAACTTTATAAGTTGGATTACGATACTGTGTTTTGGAGTTAATTTTCGGACTCGTTGAATTAATCTCGTAGGTACTTAGCTCCTGAATATTTCCAGCACGGGAAAGTATCCGATAGAACGGATGTTTACGCATTTGGCGTAGTGCTCTTGGAATTAATAACCGGAAGGAAGCCAATTGAGTCGAGAAGAGGACCCGGCGAAGAGAATTTGGTTTCTTGGGTAAAGTCGCAATCTTTTTTTAGCTCAATTTCTTGCTCACACGAAAAATTGTGTCTTAAAATTATTATTTTTTTAATTATTTGTTAAATAGGCAAAGCCACTAATGGAGCAAGGGAGTGTAGAGGAATTGCTTGATCAACGGCTGAGATTCACCGGAAGGAATTCGAGTCATATTATAGCACGGATGGTGCGAGCGGCAAGTGAATGCCTAAAGAACGAGTCAACGAGGCCCGAGATGGGTGAGATTGTGAGGGTATTGAGAGGGAAAGAATTGAATGGGTTGAGCAGAAAGAAGGCGGCTCTTTTGCCGATGAGTAATACTAATGTGGTTGACTATTGTTACACCGAGTTGAAACAGACGAAGAGCGAAATGAAGAGCCATTTCGCTCTGGCTATGCTAGGAGTCGAGTTCGAGGACGACGACTACCTTTGCTGCCGATGAATAAACTTAAATTCTTTAGGGGGTTTTTTTTCCTGCCAATTTTGAGTGCAGAGGAGTTTATATTTGCACTTTGTTTTTCTACCACTTTGTTTTGCCTCATCCCTCATTCATTCATCAAAGGTTTAAAAGGCCAAAAGCAAGAATTATAACATGGTCCTTTGAATTCTTATATATTAGGGATTCTTTTTTACAAAAATAAGAAATTATATAACATTCAATAATTAATCCTACTAATCAATCAACATAATTGAGAAATTATAAAAACATACAGAAATTCTTCATTATTAGTAAAGTTCTTGCATTCTGAGTTGCAAAATTATCAATCAAATTCGTATAAATCAAAATTTATCTACGATATAAACTTCAACTTTGAGAAGCTAGGATTTCAAATTTTACCCAACAATTGTTTTTGCACAAAGGTTAGGACTTAGATGAATAAATGGGAAAAATACAGTTTTGATCCTTCAAGTTTGCGTAAATTCCACATTTGACCCCTCATGTTCACAAAAAATACATTTGGTCCTTCATGTTTCAAACATTCAACACACTTAGTCATTTCCGTCAATTTTTCATTAGTACTAACGGAAGTAAGTGTGTGCCCGTCACTGCCTTAATTAACGTACTAACAATAAATTGAAAGAGATGACCAAAATTGTTAAATTTTTTAAACATGACGGACCAAATGTGTTTTTTTATGAACATGGAGGACCATATGTCATGTCGGTGCAAACTTGAGAGATGAAAATTGTAATTTTCTCATAAATAAATATATACATGGTAGAACCCTAAAATTTATCAAATTTCTCAAATTGGTATTGCATCTTATGTTTAATATAAGGGAGCAGCTAAAACAAATATCGGTTTTTTCTCACTTCAATACCACCAACTTAAAAAATAGGTAATAAATAGGTAATGACATTATTATCCTTAATGAAAATCAATACCACGACGATGTTAATTTTATTAAGGATATTAATTTCATTACCTAATTATTTTTTATTTTTTATGTTGATGGTATTGAAGTGAGAAAAAAACGCTATTTGTTTTAGCCGTCCTCGTAATATAATTGATATATGTGGTATTGATTGAATCAAAAAATAAAAAAAAAAAAAAATAAAAAATTGAAAATAATTGAAGATTCGAGTCCCAATATTGACTCGACCCTATATTCTTTTATGCGAGCATGTGAAATATTCCTTTCATCCTGGAAAATAATACAAGGTTTGTCACGTGCAGTCAACGAAACATACCATGTGCTCTCTCCAGATAATGCAAATAAATGTCAGATGAACCTACTATTACTATTATTTCCATTTGTTGATTATTTTCATGTCTACTATTATTAATTGTAATTTATAATCATAAGTAAATCAAGGGTCAATGTGAATTTTGATTTAAACAAAAATAAAATTGGAGTTATGACGAAGGTCTTACCATACGCGTGCGTAACTAAGATCGAATTCAAGACCTCGCGCTACAAGAATGTGATTGACCGTAAAGGCAATAGGGTTACATTCGTGTTTAACGGCTATTAAGCAAAGAAAACGTGTAAAACGGACAAACTTGCCCTTGTTTGGCACTCAACTTCGTTTCATATTAAGTCTCGCTTAAGATTAATGCACGCTGATTAAAAAAATTATTAAATAGCCTTGATTTTAGGATAAAGTCGGACAAAAAGAAACTTATCCTACCTTAAGGAAGAAAATTTATGGGTAAAGTGAGAGTTAATATAAAACGGAGAGAGTACTAAACAAGACCACTTGAAACATACATAACAACGTTGTATAATTGAAATTCATGCAACAAGAAGTCTAGCCACGATGTAATAATATAAATATAGAAATATAAAATTTGTTAATTATTTTTGAAAGCGAAAAAAAACAGAAAATTGAAAAAGTTGTCTAATAGATACTACACCGCGTGAAATACATTCATCAGAAAAACCATCCGCCTATTCATTCACACACACATCCATGTGGGTATGTGCGGATGAATTAAGAGGTTGATATTCAGCTGATGTACACTTCACCAGATGTAACACATATTTGACCAGCAAAAACTAGAATAACTTGGCAACATCCTTGACCAAGCCCTTATTTGCACGGGCGAATTCGTCAAACTCTTGGTACGAAATGCAACCATCACCATCGGTGTCGATCTCGGCCATCATGCGCTTGACTTCCTCCGATGTGACGGACCCCAGCTTCTGGAGTGCCTCACCGAGTTCAACGGCCGAGATCTTCCCATCTCCGTTTGAATCGAACGACTTGAAAAGCCTCTCACGATCCGCTACATCTTGTGGATCATCAGCCATTGTTGTTGTTTGATAGCTAGAGATTGTTCTTTATTTATTTTTTGGGATCTACAATTGTTTATTTAATTTAATTTTTTTTTTTTTTGTGTTTTTTTGGGGAGGTTATGAATGAAAGAAAGAACCCAAGATTGGCTTATGATTAGATGGTCATCCATTTTTCTCGTTGAGGCACACAAAATTAGTAGCTTTGCCTTAACAAAGTTGGAATTTAGGAGATTTTTTTGCCTATGAATTTGGATCTTGAAATATGGATTTTGAGGTCATTTCGAGTTGAATTTGTACTGAATTTTCAACTTAATTTTCGATCGTCGATTAGAACAACCACTAGCTTATCAAAATTTCGAAAGAATAGAATAAAAAATAATTCAAAAGTAAGATACATTATTCATGAAATGTCACAACTTACAATTCACGCAAAGCACAACATGAAAATTCGAAATTTTTACGATAATTTCCAGCTCGTTTATGTAAGAAATGGCTCGAAATCTCTAGAACTACACCCGCATACTTGAAAAATTGGGATGATCCAGTTTCGGATGAATGAATTCATCGTTTTTATGATACTATATATCATTGGCTAAAATATAATACAGAAGTGAGTACGAAAACAATTCTACGCCACTGACTTGAGCATAGCATTCAGCACGATTTCCCGAGTCGGCAAAGCCGGAATAGCACCTCTTTCCGTCACAGTCAACGCACCACAAGCATTAGCAAATTCCAGAGCATCTCTCAACCGATCCTCGTCCTGTAAAAAATGAATATTTTAAGTGGTGATAAACGAAATAATAGAAGTATCACACAATTCCCCAACAAAATAACCAAAAAAAAAAAAAAAAAAAAAAAAAAAAAAAACGAAACATACGAAAAATGACTAGTTAGTCCGTCCTAAATGGGATTATGTAACAATTACGACATTTAATTATAAGGCACATATTTGAAATATTTACAATATAATCATTTACTTGGGGCAAGAAATAATAATAATTATTAGGGCAAATTACGCCGACCCCTGAGATATGGTCAAATTACGAAAACCCCCTCCTGTTTGGGTAATTACAGCCACCCCCTCAACTATGTATTATCTTACGAAAAGACCCCTCCATCGGAATATTTAGGGATGTTAATTCGGTTAAACCGAAACGAAATTTCGGTACACCAACATTTCATACCTGAAGCAAGAGGGGTTTTTCGAAATTTGGCCATACCTCAGGGGGGGGCCGAAATTTGCCCTAATTATTATTATTATTATTACCGGAAGCAACGAGGTATCCGAAGCTAGCTGTGACAAGATTCCTGCCACAAAAGCATCTCCAGCACCCGTTGAATCAACTGCTTCCACTTTCAGACCCTTCACTCTTCCACTGAACTCCTGGAAATCCCCAAACGATATTATATCAAAACCTATATATATATATATATATATATATATGAAACAGAACAAAAGTCTTATGGTATAATACCTTAGGTATAATATCTGCAGCCTTCCGGACCTTCAGTAACGAGAAGCAATTTAAGGTTCTCGTGGTACAATTTTCGAACCACATTATCGTCAAACGGGTCTTCCCCGTTTGTTAAAAAGCATATTTCCTCCTCACTAATCTGATATTTTTAAAATCACCGGAAAAAAATATATATATAAAAATCGAGTCTTTACTATGACAAATGAATATAATTTCGAAAAAAAATAAAGGTAACCTTGATTATATCAGCAGTATCCCATATACTAAGAATGCCTTGTCTTGCACTTTCAGCCGAAGGCCACAAAGGAAGCCTCAAATTTGGGTCGTACGAAAGAATAACGCCAGCCTCTTTTGCAGCCTTTGCAGCGGCAATGTGTGCCGATTTACAAGGCTCCGTGATTAGACTTATCGAACCGTAGTGGAATATTTTCGCCTGAAGATTTGTGTAGATAAGCCGTAAATTGGAAACCTAGGACGGTTCTTGATTATTAGGACATGAGTTAAAATCTTGATTATGATTTGTTATACCTTCTTAATTAGTTCGAGGTCGAGTTCGGATTCTTGGAGTAACATGTCAGCACTAGGATTGCGGTAGAACATGAACTCGCGCTCGCCGTCTTTTCTGAGAGTTACGAATGCTAAAGCGGTGCGGGCCCCGGTGTCGAACCTCATCCCTTCGTTATTTACGTTGTTCTCCTTTAGAATATCGGCTAACATGTAACCGAATTCATCTTCACCCACCTAGCGGAACCAAGAGAACAAGTAATTTTCTCTAAATAACTTCCGATTTGGTAAATAACAAAAGTTAACTTGAAGTTGAATTTACAAAAAGAAAGATTAACTCATTAAATCGAGCAACAAAACAATTATTTTCGGTCTTTGATATAGTTCAACTAAAAAACAAAGGATAACTCGGAATTAATACGCCGAATTTCACATCACCCCCTCAATAAATTTTATTTACACGGATTTTTCCTAAACTCAATTAGATGTTGCATTGTGCCCACCCTAATCACATGAGTTGCACGCGATTTTGATAGGGGCAAAAAGGTCCAACTAATTGAGTTTGGATAAAAATAGTGTTAAATTTCCTTAATTTGTCCTAAATATATATATACCTTGCCGATGAAAGCCGAAGCACCACCAAGGCGAGCAATGCCGACAGCAACGTTTGCAGGAGCACCGCCAGGAGCTTTCTTGAAAGCCGGTGCTTCCGCCAGAGAAAGTCCGCTAGTGGTCGGCACAAAATCAATAAGCATTTCGCCGAAGCAAACCACGAGAGAGGATTCGTCTCTATCCAACGCCCCATTACCACTTCCTAATGCTTCTCCTATAAATTACAAACAATCGCAATAAAAAAAAAAATTAAAATTAAATTATCGAGCTGATAAATCATTAAACCAACAAACATTCCTTTTGATTCAAACATTACAAATACATTAAAGTACTAAACTAGGGTTAATTAATACGAGTGATTGGGTGATTACGAGTTTAATTAAGTAATTAACCATCCCCTTCTTAGGTTTGTTAAACTAACTCCAACTTTGTATGAATTTCCAAAATTGCTTCCCACACACGCGCACACGCGTTCGCGCACACACACACACACACACAAGAAGGGGAACTGATTCTCACCTTGAAACATGAATCTTGGAGATGGCGGCGAAGAAGAGGGTGAAGATTTGAGACTGCATTTTCCGCGAAACGAAGTGGGCCCACCGAACCAATGGGGTGACGTGGAAGCTCGAGGGTTTGAAGAAACGGAGGTGGTGAAGAAGCTCAAGGCAGTGCAATGAAGAGCCATTTTTTTTCTTTTTTGTGGGATTACAAAATTGGGGAATTAATTCACTGATCACACACACAGTTGAGGGGAAAAAAATCTAACCCCGATTAATTTATTTTTTTGTTTTCTGGGAGTTATAATTGATGGTTGCAAATGGGGGAAGGGAACGAAGACAATTTACCTAGGATTCATCGAACTAAAATATTTGAAAGTAAAAAAATTAGCTGAGGGAAGATAGGTAATTCTTGATTTCTCTTTTTTAACTGGTTTGGGGGGTGGGGAGTGACGGATAAAGCCAAGAATCAACAATTGAAGAGAGAGAGAGAGAGAAGGCGCTAACCGCCAAGTGTACGTTGGAGTCCTTAGATCTTGTTGGACGGCCAACTGTATTCACACTGCTTGAGTGTGTGTTGAGACTCTTTTACCATAGTGTAGTTTAGTGCCCATTTCCCTTTTGGGCTTTTCTCTTAATTTAAATTGTTTTAAAAGGTATTCATATAATTGAGGGTAAATTCCGACCACTGATTCTGATGTAAGGTTAAATTACGAAAAACTAATTCGTGTTTGAGTAATTATAATTAGACATCAACTATGGATCTTCTTACACACGTTCATTCTTAAGGTGTCAAATTCAACAGAATCTTCTAGATTTTGTGAAATGTTCTCTAGTTTGTACTCGTTTTGCGCATAAATGTAATTTCTAATGTACTGCAATCTGATATTTACAAGCAAAGAAACACATCTTATGATTATCTTGCTTTACAACGTAGAGGTAAAATGGGTACAAAATTTAGAATATTTCATATAATCTAGAAGATTCTACTAAATTTGACACCGCAAGTGTGGACGTGTAAAAAAATTCATAATTGAGGGGTGATTGTCTATGCTGCACAGATACGGATAAGCGGACACATTGATATGCGGATACGGATACGCGGACACATTAATATGCGGATACGGAAACGGTGATACGGCATTTCCAAAAAACTAGGATACGGACACGGGGGATACGCTTAAATATAAAAAATGTAGGGGTATATTCTCAATTTTAAAAATATAGGAGTACATTTATAAATTGTAAAAATATTTATAAGTCGCCAAATCGCGTAAGAGAACCGCTCGCCCTTGCTGCTCGTGTTCTTGGTCGCTGTTGTCGCTAGAGTTTTAAAATTTTGGGTGGACTCTCAAAGAAGACAGAGGAAATATGTATTTGAGAAAAAAGAAAATGCGTGCTTTTTATTAGGGCTTTCTCTTCAAACACAAGACTCGTGTCCCAACTTTTTTAAAGTTGCGAACCCGACATGGGTGTCCTATTTATAGCTAAATTACGACATAGGTATCCGAGCCGTATCTGGACGTGTCCGAGTGTTCAGGTGTCGGAAACTGGAACTCTTCATCTTCTAAAAGTGTCGTGCAGCATAGGTGATTGTAATTACCCAACGTAATAGTTTTTTTAGTAACTTAACATTACCTCAGGGGTAGTCATAATTTACCCTATAATTAATGAAATGTTGCATTGGTAATTTTTGCTATCACTATTTTATCTTCTTTAGATCTAAATTCACCTCGTTACGATGTTCAAGATATTTTACCAAAATAATCACGAATACTACAATTTCTAAATTACTTCATTAAAATTGACTTTTAGAACATTTGTAAATAAGTCCTCCTTCTTCGAGTTGTATACAATTCGCTCAATAAGAATTGCAACAAAAAGGAAGTTGGCGGTAATTACATAACTCTTGACTAGATTCAGATTAAAGCTTATCAATAAATAAAATAGAATAAATAGCACTTAATTCCCCTAAGGTTACAAGTTTTTGCATATGCCTCATTTGTTCGTAATATCAGAACATAACCTCCTTGTGGTTTAGGGTTTAGCTTCCGTTAAATTTTTCGTGAAACTTAACCGCATGTATCAAACTTCAAGGGGGTCGTCATCTGCAAAAATGAGAGGGAAGATGCAAGCACAAGGGGATCATCTGCAGAAAAAATACTTTGAAGTTTGACATATACAGTTAAGTTTGACGGAAAAACTAACAGAAGTTACCCTTAAACCACAAAGGAATTATGTGCTGATATTACGAGCTCGTAACCTGATGCGGGAACATAAATCCTATAATCAAAATTCTTTATAATTTTGTATAGTGATGAAACTAAGGGCTGTAAACTTCCTCAAATTGGCCTACAAAAATATGTAACCAGCCCATTAGCGCATTTATCTGCTCCAGCCCATGTTCTTAATACCGTGGCTCAGCCCATCTTGAAAGAGCAGTGCTTGGTCAATATGGTCAATGCCACCACATTGACACAATTTTCGGAATTTTACAGGATAATACATATATTTATAATGTACATATTCTTTTTTATATAAAATTGGATTTTTTGTGCGAAAGATGGTTCTTTATTTATTTTTTTGCAAAATGTTTTTTCTAGTACTATACAAGTTAATATTTATAATAAAATAAATAAATAATCTGAAATGATTTACGCGGCAGCAAAATTACGAATGTCATTCACAATTGTCTTCTCTTTCTCTCTTTAAAAATTCTCAAATTCACCCAAACCCCCAAAACCCCCAAAATTAACAAAAACCCTCAACCCCTCTCACAAATCCTTCCAAATCCGAAAATCTCGTCTTTGAAAGGTAATTAATCATCTGAAGTAGTTATATATATTGAATTTGCGGTTAATTATGTGAAAATCCCCAGAAAATCGCAATTTGAGGTTGTTTTTAGTATTGAGTTTTCGAATTTTCCACGGCCAAAATGAGAGTGTGAAGGAAGTTTACACGCCTAAACCAGCCGTGAAAACTGCTTTCACACGCCCATTTTGGACGTGGAAAATTGTTTCGGGCGTTCGATCCAGACGCCGGTTCTAGACCGGTCGTCCGGTTCAAATTTTTTTTTTGCCCAGTACAATTCACAGAAGAATTCCTTTTTTTTTTAACAAACTCGCTCTGGCCTAGTTGGTCATGTTGGAGATATTAATACTAAATGATACATTTCACTAATAGCTTAAGCTTTTGGTTGAGATGGTCATTCAACATGGTATCAAAGCCAGGCCAAATGAAAGGTCCTGAGTTCGAATCCCACCGCCACCCAATTCAAATATTTCAAGTGCAAGGCTTCAAATGTAATTCGCCTGCACTTGAGGGGGCGTGTTGGAGATATTAATACTAAATGATACATTTCACTAATAGCTTAAGCTTTTGGTTGAGATGGTCATTCAACAGGTCACGCGTCTCGTCTATTACACAATAGACTTGTGTTTGACTCTTCGCAGTATCGTATATATCTGAATTTTCTACCCAGTTTAATGAAATGGATAAATATAATTAAATAAGTACTAATTATCAAAATGGTTGTAGCTTAGTTGGTCAGGTAAGTTGGTAATTCAACAATAAGGTCTTGTGTTCAAATCCTTGTAACAACACAAATATATAATTTTTTTGATTAAACCTGACGCGGGAAATACTTTTTAGCGCCCAGTTTGATCGTGAGTCGCGTTTTCGCGATTTATAGAACAAAAAGAAAAAAAAATTACTTCATTGGGTTCCGTATCTCGATCCTCATTCGATGTACTCATTTTGCAAATTTTGATTAAACATGTTGCGGGAAATACTTTTTAGCGCCCAGTTTGGTTGTGAGTCGCGTTTTCGCGATTTATAGAACAAAAAGAACAAATTTTACTTCATTGGGTTCCGTATCTCGATCCTCATTCGATGCACTCATTTTTCTTTACAAATCGCTACAATAACATGGGTTTTGGAACGATTTCTAATATAAAAGCTATTAAAAATAAAATCATAGAGAGAGAAAGGTAGGTAGAGAGTGAATTTTTAAAACCCGCATTTGTAATCTTCAAAAAACCTTTTTGGAGCTTTTGATATTTTAAACCTGGCGCGGGAAATACTTTTGCGCGCCCAAACCGGGCGTGAATCGGGCTTTTTAGCGCCCAGTTTGGTCGTGAGTCGCGTTTTCGCGATTTCTAGAACAAAAAGAACAAATTTTACTTCATTGGGTTCCGTATCTCGATTCTCATTCGATGCACTCATTTTTCTTTGCAAATCGCTTCAATTACATGGGTTTTGGAACGCTTTCTAATATAAAAGCTATTAAAAATAAAATTGTAGAGAGAGAAAGATAGGTAGAGAGTGAATTTTTTAAACCCGCATTCGTAATCTTCAAAAAACCTTTTTGGAGCTTTTGATATTTTACTACCGCGAATATCACCTCCCATAAATAAATAATTTGAATATAATCCCAATATATAAGTTTAGATTTAACAAATCGAATTTCTATCTTTATATATTAAGTTTTGAAATATATTGATATAAAAGAGGAGATTGGTAATTGTTGAAAATTAGTACAGAAAAAATATTAAAAATAAAAAATTACAAAAATACCATTAAATTTTTTTAGGGTCGTCCAACTTTTATTTCTCTTATATATAAGATTGGATTGAATTTTATGTGCGAAAGATGGTTCTCTATTATTTTTTTTTCGCAAAAATATTTTTAAGTTAATATTATACACCAAGGATGCATATAATATATAAAATATTTTATAATAAGATAAATAAATAAATAAATCCGGTTTGATTTGGTTTAGGAAGAGTGTCAATGAGATCACATGAAGTGTGTGCTGGCCCACACAGCAGCTTTAACTGTACCCACACTTCTGACAGGTACATGTCTCACTCATACAACTACCACTTTGTTTCTTCTCTATTAAACTAATTACTAATTAATTAATTACTTAATTAATTAATCAATAATTAAAATCCTCCATTGTTAAAGATTTGTTACAATGAGTTTCCCAAAGTCTGTGCTTGAACGTGTCACTTATAGATTGGCTTTAACACCTCAAACTCAAACTGAATAATTGCTACTAATAAATAATATATATTTGGGTAAATTGCACTTAAACCCCCTTTAGTTTACCAGTTTTGTATTTCACCCCCATCGGATATCAATTTAAGCACTTTACCCCGTTGTGGTTGTCAATGTATAGCGGCCGTTTAAGAATCTGTTAAAACTAATGGAATTGGGTGCATCTCACCCGCTCAGTCCCTAAACATGTAATTTTAAAAATTATTGATTTAAAAAATAATAACAACAAATAAATAAAAAGAAATAATAATAAATAAATAAATCTACGAAAATGCTAAATGTAGGACCAGAAAAGTTGAATACAACATTTTGCCGAATATTTTATATAAAGATAGTATAGTACTTTTGTCTGTCCACGAATATGCTAAATGATGATTTTGGCTTGAGTTTATCCCTAATTATTGATACCTAAGGGCATCTCCTATGGAATGGGGGAGGGGAGGGGGTGGGGTCGGGCTGAGGTGTTCAGTGAGTAGGGGGTAGGGCTGGGAGGGTGAATTTAGCCCATGCATAAGCCTTTGGCTCTCACGCGTCTCTCTCCCACGTGAATTTCACGTTCTGCTGCTTTTTATCTTTCTTTTTCTCTTACCACTGCTCTTTCAACGTTAGCATTTTCTTTTTTTATTTTTTTTTCTTTTATTTTTTTGTATCTTTTCTTTATTTATTTTAGTTCTTTCTTTTTTTTCCTTTTTTTTTCTTTCTTTTTTCTTTATATATTTTCATTTTATTATTAGTGTCTTTTATTTTACTTTTGTTTTCTCCTTTTTTTTTTCTCTAATTCGTTGTTCTTTAATTTAAAATATTAATTTTATTGTAAATATTCTTAAAATTATTATTATTATTATTATTATTATTATTATTATTATTATTATTATTATTATTATTATTATTATTATTATTATTATTATTATTATTATATAGTGAGAGTGGTGATGGAAAAAATGGAAGAAATAGATTGATCGGCTGGACGAGAAATGGGCTGGGGTCGGGGTCGGGATTGGGGGAGCCCCGCGAGAGCCGCCCCGTTCGACAGAAGATGCCCTAAGGGTGTATATAGAATAAGTCCACAGAAAACCCCCATCACAAAATCAAATCCAATATACACACTAAATAAGATATACCGCGTCACAGCAGATCACTGCTACCAAGATTTACTAATCAAAGTTAATTAAAAACAAAATCTTTTTTCAGAAACTGAATCTGTACTTCACGCGTACTAAAACCGCGTTGCCCGTCCCTATAAGTACACAGTAGCAAACCCGGAGAGAGAGAGAGAGAGAGAGAGAGAGAAAAAAAACCCTAATTCCTCGAGAAATCTTCCCCCTTTTTTCCTCTCTTTGATTTTAATTTTCAACAATGGAGAAAAAATCAGCGGCGGCCGTCACACTCACCGAAGAAGAGCAAGCGGAGAGCGTCTTCAACATGTTCGACAAAAACGGCGACGGAAAAATCTCCCGAACCGAACTCGGAGCCATCCTCAGCAGCCTCGGATCCTCCACCTCCGCCGCCGACGCGGCGCGCCTGATGTCGGAGCTCGACAAGGACGGCGACGGATTCATCGATCGGAGCGAGTTCAGGGCCTACAAACTCGGCGGCGCAGGCGGCGACGGCGAGGAGCTGAAGGAGGCGTTCGCCTTGTACGACAAGGATAAGAACGGCAAGATCTCCGCCACCGAGTTGCACTCGGTGCTCACGAGTCTGGGGACGAAGTGCTCCGTCAAGGATTGCCGGAAGATGATCGCCTCCTTCGACGTCGACGGCGACGGCTGCATGAACTTTGACGAGTTTAAGAAGATGATGACTCGGACTTCGTGATCCGATTTCTCTCCAAAATTAATTAGCTGCTAATTAGGATTTAATTTTTGTTTCTGTATAGTTATTTCCATTAATCTGGAATTAGAAGAAAACTGCTGAATTCTCTAACAGAAAATAAAAAATAAAAAATTAATGGAAATATTTTAATAATATTTTTAATTGTTTTAGTATTTGTGATTGGGCGTGGATTTAGTTTAATTTAATTAATAATAGTTACTGTTGGGGTAGTTGAATAGATGGCATTATCATTGAACGCGTGATATAAAGAAACGCGCTTGTAATTAATAATATTTGTGGCTTTGATTTATTTCTATTGTGGGCGAGTGGGGCTTGATTTATTTCTATTGTAGGTAAAGTAGGGTTGAAAACTCATGGAGTTGTGTGCTGCAACATGAGTGGCTAGGATTTTAGTCAATTTCATTGACCAATTAGACAACAGACCATTTTTGTCAATTGCATTTTGGATCTGGACCATTTTCGCAATTTTTATAAAGTTCGAAAAATGTTTGAATAGCAAATTTTTAAAATTACGCAATTGATAGCAGTGTGCCGAAAAGTCTTGCACAAAATAATCCATCTATTTTCCGGTTTATTAGCTTTGTAATGAAAAAAAAGTAAAGGGTTATTTAGTATATCTCCATTATTTAGTATTTTAGTGACCCAATCGCTTATTTGTTGAGGAGAAACTAATTCAGTTCGAAACTAATTCAGTTCGTAGTTGTTGATATTTATACCGATCAATCATAGAAGAAAAAATATGATTTATTCCGATTGTCTTGATAGGAGATAAAAGAATTATGAAATGACTAAACTGCCCTTCTCCGATGATTATTTCACTATTAATTTCCTGTCTCTATTAGTTAGCTGCGAATAATACAACAAATTAGCATATTTGAACATGTAGAACAAAGGGATGAAAGGAAAAAACCAACAAATAATTAATGGAGAAAGTGGGAAGGATTGGTAACCCGGTGATGTATCCGGTGACAAACGGTTACGGATGGGTCGGGTTTTTACTTGACCCGGTCAATTATGGATATAGTACTACTTATGGCCCATAATGGGTAAAATAGGCTTTTGGTAATGGGCCACTATTTGTTTCGATCCTGGGTTACTGAATTGGATCTGGTTCACACAATTCACAAGGCAATTAACAATTTATATGTTATAACGTGACAATAATTCATCCCGGAAAAATAAATTTCTGCTGCTGTGAAAATTTTAAATCTCACTGAAATAGGGTTGGGATTCGGATTTTTATCCACCAGCAGATCTATTATCGACAATACTTTTAGGGGGGTGATATCTTTTTAACTATTCTATGGGATCGGGTCGATGGTTTTTAATATCACTAAAATTTGGTTGACCGATAATTATCGATCAACCAACTATATTAATAAGAGTGTATATGTACAAAACCAGTACCCGTTATGTCTCCGCTATGGATGAAAAAATTAAAATCGGTACCCATCCCATTAGCTAACGAACTGGAATTACCCAGTAAATCCAGGACAGGACAGGGGTATCCGGTGGAGCGGGTTAAATTACCATCTCTAATTTTGAAAAGGGTATCAATTTATCATCTTCTACTATCGATTGCATCGATCTGCCCTCTATACATAAAAATTGTCTCAATGTGGCCCTAATTGTCAGACATTTGACCTTAACACCGTCTGATCTAAGCTCTGAAATTACACAAACGCCACCCCAGTTAAAATAATTATTAAAAACACAATAAAAATAAAAATAAACAAAAAAATAAGATAACAAAAGTTCAACACAACGAGAAAACATAGTCCACGACGCCAACCACAATTTATTTTTTTATTTTTTTTAATAATTATTTAAACTGAGATGAGTGGTTTTTTTGTAATTTTCAGACTTAGATCAAACAGTGTTAATGTCAAAGGTCTGAAAACTAACGACGAGGGCCACGTTGAGACAATTTTTCAAGTATAGGAAGACAAATCGATGCATTAAAAAATAGAAGAGAGTAAAATAATATCGAACCAAATTACATTGAGTAAAGTGGAATTTATCTTTTGAAAATGCAGAATGCTGATAAGTAATTAAATTATTTCGAGCTGCATTTCATGCAAATTAGAAGTAAACCCCAAAAAAATTGGTGGTGAGTGTGGTTTATACGCTAACATTGTTCCTCATAACTTCCAAAAAGGTCGAATTCTTTCCATTTATGTCACCACACCAAAAGTATGCACACTTGGATACGAATCTTAATTGAATATTTATTTTTATTTTATTATTAAAAACAGTCCTTTTCAATTGGTTCCTTTTGAAGATGAAGAAAGGTCAAACATCATCAATGCACCCCAATGTACTAAATAGTGACACTCCAATTACTACGTTAATGATTGAGTTTTTAAATAAGATTTAGTGTAAATTATACCTAGCTAAAATAATTTTGGTATTGATAATTATAATAACATCCCTGACACAATTACTGGAACCAAGATTTCATGTCATGCGGACCGATATGCACTATATATTTTTTTTTTCCCGGGGCAGTTAATGCTACTATCGATGAAAATTCATAAATTCATAAAGAGGGTTTAAGAAATATTAGAGTCATGTCACCCCCTAACTCTATGTTGTCTCCACCACTTTCTCAAACTAATAGTCTGTTAGAACTCTAGCGGAGTAACTTATCTAATATTATTCCGTTAGAGTTTCTAACAATATTTCAAGGGATCATTGTAAATACCGATACAACATGAACCTTAAAGGTGGTTTAGGGGTGTTGGTGTAATTTGCCTAAGTTTTATTTAGTGATTCACTTTGAGGTATTCTCAATTAAATGGACCACGTTACGAAATGTGCATACCTTAGCTTTATAGTGTATTTAATTAACAAATACATAAGTGCCGACGTTGGTGGTCGATTATAGATCGACTCACTCCCCAATTTTCACCACAGAGCACCTGGTCTGTCAGCTGCGGGGTCACTTTTTGAAATGCTACGTGATGATAAAAAAACTAACAACTAAGCTAACTCGAAAAGCTATTTCGGAACTACGACATAACTAGAGGCTTGGGCGCGATTTCGCAAGCAAATGA